TTTTTTTTTTTTTTTTTTTTTTTTACGTCCCTGTAGGAGGTAAAAATCCTGCCTTCCCATGCCCCCCTCCACCCTGTACCCTCCGCCCTCCCTCTCTGTGCTCAGTGGCACCTCTCCTGCCCTCCCATTCCCTCCTCTCACCCTCTCTACTTAGATCTCTGGATGCAGGGAGATCTGCCTGCTGCCACTGCTGTCCAAGCTGCTCCTACCCTGCTCTACCTGGAGCTGTGCGGAGTGATTGTGTGGAGGGCCAGCCTTGTGTGGGGACAGTGACCATGGTGGTGGGCAGGTTCCCTTGAATACCCGGGATGAACATGCAGGAAACCACCTGATCCCAGAACACCAGCATAATCTTGTTGGATCTTAGGCAGGAGTGGCTCTGGAGGCCCCACCCCTAGTTCAGCCAGAGATAGCTGGGGCAACAGCAGTGGCAAATGGGAGGAATGGGAAGGGAGGGCATGTGCCCCTGAGCAGGGAGGGGAAGAGAGAGGGTGCCAAGAAGCGTGTATTTCTTATGTGCTTTGGGACTTAAGAGTACCCAGCTACCGCTCCCCCAGTCCTTAAGTTTCTGGGAGTTTTTTCCTAATGCAAACTTCAGCCTTGAAGAGGACTGAACTTAGTTGTTTTTCTTCCATAAGTATATTCCATAAATTTGTGGGGTTTTTTTGCTGAGCTATTAACCTGAAATGACTAATCTGTATTTGTAATTAATTAAAATAAATGAAAACACAAATTACTTGCAGACATTTTATAAATGCCTCTTAATTAGTCTTAATGGCCTTCAAATAATATTCTTTCAGGCATCTGACTATCCTATTGTACTATCTTTGGAGAATCACTGCAGCCCTAAACAACAGGAAGTAATGGCAGACTATTTAGAAAAGATTCTCGGTGACAAACTTCTTACAACAACAATTGATGAAACCGTACCAACAGAATTACCTTCCCCTGAGGTAACAACACTGATTTCTTTATGAAAAATAAGAAGGAAAAGTTCTGGAAATCTCCTGGAACTGAGTTTATGAGACTGTTGTTTCATTTGGAGTTTAAAGCAAACATCTTTACACTTCAGATTGCAAAACAAAATTAATTACTTAATATGACAGCATGGTGGCGGGGCGGGGGAGCAAATCATATAGGTTCTTACGAGCCTGGCAAGAGGAGAACTATGGGCTCCTATACACATGCAGGAAGCCTGCTCAGATGTGCTGGAAATCCACAGAAATTAACACACTCCAGCATCACATGTATCAGCATCCCTGCAATGAAAAGTGGTGGCGCGGCACTTAGAACTATAGCTCATTTGAGCTTTAGTTCAAAGACCCTGTTGCCATTTTTCAGCATGGGGACCCTGATACACATGACACTTGGGTGTTTTTAATTAGTGCGGCTTGCTAATTAAAGCGCCTCTCCTCCTCCCCTCTCCTGCTTCTGGAGCACATGTAAAAATGCCCAATATTTCAAATGCGACCTTAGAATATACAGATGCAGTAGCTACCAATCCAGCACTTTGCAAAGTCTTGGGTATTCTGGTTATGATTTAGGCCCCCTCTAAACATCACAGGTGAATTGCTTATATTGAGACCAGCTACATGTGCAAAGTACTTATCATACCATAAAAAGCTCCCATCAGCTTGAAAGTTTGACTTCAATAATGTGTACTAAATTATAGCTGGTTGCTACTGAATTTGCACCTGGAGCAGGGTCTTTCAGCTGTGAGGGTGCACCACGTCCCACCTCAGCCCCACAAGCTGCGGAGGCTGGGTCCCAGCAGTGAGCCTCCCAGTGCCAAGTCCCAACTGGGTGCTGGCAGATGCAGGGTGCAGCTGTGATCTCCCAACCCCGGAGATGTGTGAAACTCTTGGGGCTTGGAGACTTTAGCAACTGCTGTCTTCCGTCCTAGGGGGCTCCCTGGACCTCTGGGACTGAGAAGTCATGGCATCTGTAGCTCCCAGCCACAGGTGTCTGTGGGGAGCCCCTGTGGCTGGCAGTCCCTTAACTGAGAAGGCTCCCAGCTGCGGAAGCTTGCTTCTTGCCAGCACAGGGGGAGCCCAGAATCAGGCTTCCCCTGCTCCAGCAATGAAGTGTGATGGGCTCTAATGTACAATCCCACAATTGAGCCTCCTGCCATGCATGTGTGGTATGGCAGGAGGCACAGTTGTGTGGATCATGCGTGAGATCCCATGGCACCTTTACCTGCACATGTAGAGGGGCCCTTAGAAGTCTCCTTTCCACATATTAAACTTTGCATTTTATATGGAAACAGAATTAAATAAAATATGTGGTTATCAGTTTACTTTAAAAACTGCCACATGTCAGGCATCTTTAGCAATGTACTTCTAAATTATTAAATTTATAATGGAAGTTCTAAAGGCTCCTGCTGAGATTGTCCACTGCCTAGTGAGGTATTCCACTAAGCACAAGGCCAGATTATGAGCCCCAAACTCAGACTGAATAAAAACGGAGTGTCATGAGATCTACCACTGATTATTAGTGAAATTTATTGTAATCTTTTACTCAGTGGGTGCATCTACATGTGCTTTTAACAAGACACAATAAACTTTGGAGCTGTTTGAGTCAGGGGAAACTGCTCCTGGGTGCAACATGTACATGTATGCCCAGGAAAGCAGTGATTTGAGCCAGGACAGAGCAGCCCCAGGCTGGCAGAAGGCATGAGTGGTCAGCACTGGGTTCTGGGTGGCAGCATCAAGTGGTGGAGGGACTGGCTGCCGCCCAAGGGTGCTGACAGCGTGGAGCTGTGTGGCAGGCAGCCCCTGCGCTTTGGCACCCTTATGCCCCAGCCAGCCCCTGTCACTATCTACATGTGCCTTTCAGTGGAGTTACTTACTCTGCTGCAACATAGTACTGTCTCTGACAGTACAATCTTATGGTAGAGTTAATTAGTTTACTGCACCCTAATACTGGCACACATGTAGATGGTGCCACTTTACTGTGGAGCTTATTAGTTTACTCCAAAGTAAAGTACATGTGTAGATGCACCCAGCATGAATAAAGTTTTCAGAAACTGGAACACAGATGGAAACAGTCCCTAACCTGAAGGGTTAGAAAGGTAAGAAAAATAATGGGAGAAAGAAAATATTACCATCCGCTTTTTACAGTGTGGGAATTTTTGCAAAAGGGAAGTAAGGGGAGAATTCAGCTTAATTTTCTGAGCCTATGATGCATGTACATCTCTATGTAACTTCAGTTTTTTTGTACTTACACATGGTTTGCAATTGAGCTCTGGGCACACAAACAACCATGGAACGTGCAGGGCTGCATTCTGGCTGGGCAGATAGTGTGCAATATGCTCACCCAGTGTGCAAATGCAGGTAGGTAAATCCTGAAATTATAGCTAGGTGAAAATACATGACTAGTAGGCCTGTGCGAAGCAGCAAGTATTCGATTTGGATTCGGCTGATTCAAGAGACAGCGATTTGATTCAGTGATTCAAATCACTGTCCTGATTCGATTAGGCCAGTTTGGATTCAGAGATTTGGCTTCTGAATTCCACCGAATTGGCTACCGAAGCTTTGGACAGCCTTAACAGATAGGGATACATTCCCAGGCAGTGAGGGGATGGAAGGAAGTACTAGATGCAGTATAGATGGTTAAAGATAGGT